GAGAGAGAGAGAGAGAGAGAGAGAGAGAGAGAAAGATGGCGGAAAACGAAATATGGAGAGGGAAGGGGAGAGCGGGAGAGGGAGAGGAAGGAAGGGGAGAGAGATCCCGCCCTAGGTTCCACGGGTAAGCAAAGGGCAATATTTCACGTAATGGATCATTTACCTCGCGGGCACTCACTATAATGCGCTGCTTGCTCGTTGCTGCTACAACACACTGCTATGTGTGTACGTGGAAGCCATTAACAGTAGCAGGTCGGCTAGATAGAAGATGGACAGACAGACGGCCAGAGAGACAGGCAGACAAACAGACAGACGGACGGACAGACAGATAGAGAGACAAGCAGATAGAGAGACAAACAGACAGATAGACAGATAGAGAGACAGAATGAAAAATAGACAGATAGCGGGACAGAATGACAAATAGACAGATATATAGAGAGAGACAGAATGACAAATAGACAGATAGCGGGACAGATTGACAAATAGACAGATATATAGAGAGAGACAGAATGACAAATAGACAGATAGCCGGACAGAATGACAAATAGACAGATATATAGAGAGACAGAATGACAAATAGACAGATAGAGAGACAGAATGACAAATAGACAGATATATAGAGAGAGACAGAATGACAAATAGACAGATAGTGAGACAGACTGACAAATGGACAGATGGAGAGACAGAATGACAAATAGACAGATAGAGAGATAGAATAACAAATAAACAAATAGAGAGACACAATTACAAATAGACAGATCGAGAGACAGAATGACAGATAGACAGATAGATAGCCAGAATGACAGATAGACAGATATATAGAAAGACAGCGCGACAAATGGACAGACTGACATATACATTACCTACTCGATTAGCTACATTAGAATATGAATGCGGTCACGCAGCATGCCTGACACGCGTAAGCAAGAAAAAACAATGCTGCTGTCTATAATTTATGTTATCATGCCATCACAATTGTGTGTAACAGTCCGTATATCAAGACAGACAAGCGTAATTATGCCCCTCAATCACACACTCATGCCTGCAGAACATGTACACACGCACGCGCGCGCGCAAACACACACACACACACGCACGCACGCACGCGCATACAAGCGCACATGCATACAGATATATGCACGCCCTAACACGCACGCGCGCTTACACGCACACACGTACGCACACGCACACGCACGCGCGCTTACACGCACACACGTACGCACACGCACACGCACGCGTGCACACACGCACACACACAGATTGATACACTATACCACTGGGTGAACGTCACATCTATAACACACTTACTGGTAACCTAGATGGATTTTCTAGCGCTTACCTAACTAGAGTTTATAAGGCTTACCTATCTAGAGTCACGTATAGAAGTATTATAATAAGACTTATCAAAGGGGAAGACTAGAGTTAAAACTTACCTGTAAATTTACCAGCAATAACCTATAGATGTAATTAACCTCTACCTGCGAAGTTAGCCTACCTATAGAGCTAACAGCATTTACCTATAGAAGTAATTAACTACCTGCGGAGTTAAATTACCTTTAGAGTTAACAGCACTTAGCTGTAGAGGTAATTAACTCTACCTGCGGAGTTGCCTTACCTGTAGAGTTAACAACACTTACCTATAGAAGTAATTAACCTCTCTACCTGCGAAGCTAGCTTACCTATAGAGTTTACAACACTCACCTATGATTAAATTGAGATATAATTAGCTTACCTATAGATGTAATAACTTTATCTTCTGCGGTGTTATCTTACCTGTAGAGTTTGCAACACTCACCTATAGATATAATTAGCTTACCTATAGTCGTAATGACTGTGATGGAGAACAACAGAGCGCCTGAGAACGACCACTGCTGTTCTGCCTCCCCGGGGTCGAGGCCGTCGTAGCCCTGCCGCAGTGCCTTCACTAACTGCTTCTCAAACACCTGCAGATTGGCTTCAGCTTCCCGCGTCCAGTTGTCCGGCCAGAAGATGTTTGTCTCCAGCGTGAGCTCCCAGAGGCTGTCAACGAGTTCGTCGCGTACCCTGAGCAGCTCTCGCTTCTTTTCCATCTCGAAGGGCGACTCGATGGCGCGGAAGATCAGGCCACCTGCGATCGTATAGCCGATGACCGTACTGCAGAGTCCGAGCTGGGAGAAGAGAGCGGCGATGAAGCGGGCGCAGTAGGCGCGGCAGCGGCGCGGGTCGACGGTGCAGGTGAAGCAACGTGCGCGCGTGCAGCGGAGCGTGCAGCAGTCGCACACGGGCCGCTTGCCGACGCTGCTGCTGCTGCTGCTGCCGACGCCGCCGAAGCGTCGGCGGAAGTTGAACGGCATTTTATCCATAGTTGCTGTGGTGGTGGTGGTGGTGGTGGTGGTGGTGGTGGTGGTGGTGGTACTGCTGTTGCTGCTGTCGCTTCTTCTTCTTCTTCTTCTTCTTCTTCTTCTTCTTCTTCTTCTCCTTCCTCTTCTGCTGCTGGTGCTGGTGGTGCTGGTTTAACTGCTGCTGCTGGTGGTGGTGCTGTTGTTGTTGCTGCTGTCGCTTCTTCTTCTTCTTCTTCTTCTTTTTCTTCAGCTGCTGCTGCTGCTGCTGGTGGTGGTGGTGGTGCTGCTGCTGCTGCTGATGGTAGTGCTGCTGCTGGTGGTGGTGGCGTTGCTGCTGTTGCTGTTGGCGGTAGCGCTGGTGGTGGGGATGGTGTTACTACTACTGTTGCTGCTGCTGCTGCTGCTGCTGCTGGTAGTGGTGGTGGTGGTGGTGCTGCTGCTGCTGAAGTCACGTATGATGCCGTTCTCTGTCTGCTCCTTCTTTCTCGCCCTCGCTCTCTAGTTTGCTCGCACTCTCTCTCTCTCTCTCGTGCGCGCTCTCCCGTCTTTCTCACGCACGCACGCACGCACGCACGCACGCACGCGCGTGGGGATCACTCCAGCTCTCCCTCTCACTCTGTATTTCTCTCTCTCTCTTACTCGCTGCACCACGCGCTTCCTCTCTTCCTGCTGCCTGCCGAAATATGGAAATGAGAGAGAGAGAGCGCGCGCGAGAGCGAGAGGGAGAGAGAGAGAGAGCGCGCGCTCGTGGTAGCGGTAGCGGCGGCGGTAGCGGCGGTAGCGGCGCGCGTGTTGCGGTGCGTGCGCGTCGCAGCCGTAGCAACAACACGCGGAGCACGTGCGAGATCAGCTGGTGACTGTTGCTGGCAGATGCAATAGCCTGATGGCAAGCACGAGCAGCAGCTGCTACTGGTGATGCTGCTGCTGCTGCTACTGCTGCTGCTGCTGCTAGTTGTGCTGCTGCTAGTGGTGATGGTGCTGCTGCTGCTAGTGGTGATGCTGCTGCTAGTGGTGATGCTGCTGCTAGTGGTGCTGCTGCTAGTGGTGCTGCTGCTAGTGGTGATGGTGCTGCTGCTGCTACTGCTGCTGCTGCTGCTAGTGGTGCTGCTGCTAGTGATGATGGTGCTGCTGCTGCTAGTGGTGATGCTGCTGCTTGTGGTGGTGCTGCTGCTGCTAGTGGTGATGCTGCTGTTGCTCCTGTGGTGGTGGTAGTGGTGGTTTTTCCGTTCTACTGCTGCTGCTGCTGCTGCTGCTGCTACTGCTACTGCTGCTACTGCCTTTTCCGTTCTGCTGTTGCTGGTGCTGCTGCTGCTGACAGCGTAACCAGGGATATAATAATGTAAACCACGTTAATGCACGATGTTGTGTGATGGGGCGGATCGTCCACATAGTCTAGCTGTCAGACGCATGTGTGTGCGTCACGGTGTGCGTGAGTGCGAGCGCGCGCGCGCGTGTGTGTGTGTGTGTGTGTGTGTGTGTGTGTGTGTGTGTGTGTGTGTGTGTGTGTGTGTGTGTGTGTGTGTGTGTGTGTGTGTGTGTGCGCGCGCATGTGTTCATGTGTGGGAATGCGCGTATACACGCGCGTGTGCGTGTGTGTGCGTGTGTGTGTTTTTCATTTCCTACACGTATTCTCTCGATTGAAACAGCTTCGTTTGCGCATGCGCGCATAGCAGCCGCAACCCGTTAGTTAGGTGAGGGCGTGCGGGAGCGTTTACATAGGAACGGATGAGCTTTTAATCACTCGCCTTTAATCACAATTGAAACCATTGGTGTTGGTTTTAGCGAGGAAAATGACAAGAGGCGTCCGATATACGTACGCGCCACGAACGCGCATACGACGCACGGCACGCCACGGCGCGCAGCACCACGAACCAAACACGCTACGTACGCACGCACACGCACGCCACGCACACGCACGCGCACGACACCCACAACACGCCTATTTCTAGCCCATTCAAGAAGCCACCTCAACGCAATGGTAAAATTATCACAATATGTCTCATAACGTCTTAGTATTTCTCATGGCTCAATTAAATGATCTCAGTATGTCTCATGTCTCATGAAAATTATCTCAACAGCTGTACAACGCTGTAACACACTAGCGACACATGTGCAGACGCCACACGATCCGTCTCTCCCACGCCCACCGGAAACGGAACCGGAACCGAATCCTGGACTGAAACTGGGACCGGGATGCGACGCTAACCACTAAAGCGACCACCCGAACTGTTTCGCCGACGCCCCCCCCCGCTCACTTACTAAACGTTCTCTCGCTTCTCTTACATTTTAATTAGTGAATTTATTCAAGCGAGCTAGTACGTGCGTGCGCGTGCGTTCCCCACTCCAGCGATGCCTCGTGCATTAGAGCACCGTATGTACTCACACCGTCCTGACTATTTATGGAGTTGCTTTTACAATTTGCCCTCGAGAGCTGCGTGCGTGCGTGTGAGCGTGCGTGTGTGTGTGCGTGTGCGCGTGCGCGTGCGTGCGGCATGTGTGCGCCTGGGCCATCCTGCCGTGTTTGTGCTCGTGTGTGCGGCTGTGTACGTGCGTTGCGTTGCGGTCGCTGCTGCTGCGGTGGCGTTTGCCGTCGCCGTGCGTGGCGTACGCTTACGCAGCGGCGCGGAGCAATGAAAAGTCGCGTGATTAAAACTCGCCGAAATTGGCGCTTCAAATGATCCGCTATCGCGCCTGAATTGTGCCGGAGAGAAATCCCCCGTCATGCACCATTCACCGTTATAAATTTTTCTTTTACAGCGCACTTTAGCACGCGGAACGTGCCTACACGCCACGCCGGATGGTTTAGCAGCCAGTAATACTGGTGTGTGTGTGTTGTATTCTGGTGTGTGTGTGGTAGTTGCTGTGTGTGTGATGTGTGTGATGTGTGGTGTGTGTGTGTCGTTCTGTCTATCTGTCTGTGTGTGTGTGTGTGTGTGTGTGTGTGTGTGTGTTTGTGTTGTGTGTTGTGTGGTGTGCGGTGTGTTGTGTGTGTGTGTGTGTTTGTGTGTCGTGGGTGTGGTGTGTGTGTGTGTGGTGTGTGTGTGTGTGTGCTGTGTGTATGGTGGTGTGTGTGTGTGTCTGTATGTTTCTTCCTGTCTGTCTGTCTGTCTGTCTGTCTCGTGTGTGTGTGTGTGTGTGTGTGTGTGGTGGTTGTGTGTGGTGTGTGGTGTGTGTAGTGTGTGTTTGTGTGTGTGGTGTGCTGTGTGTGTGTGGATGTGTGGGTGGTGTCGCTGTGTGTGTGTTTGTTAGCTTCGCCCCCCCTATATACATTATATATATAGTATATATATATATATAATATATCGCCTATATTTTATTAGTGCCGCAAACACGCCGCGGACACGCACAACTTTTGGATTTTTACTTTTTTTCTTTTCCTAATTTTTTTCTCTTTCTCGGTTCATCGCCAACCTTGTAGCTTTTCTGTGATGGAACTATAAACTGTCGAATTTACACTCGAGTATAGTAGCAGTAGATACGCGGCGCATAGAACCACACATGCTTCACTTCACGCATATTAGGGAAGCCTAGTTTCTGTAGCATAACTTTCCTTTTTCATGTCAAAAAATGATTAAACTATCTTGAATATGCATCGGGAATTAGTATCGGTGTTGGATCTGCATCCCCCGGCTTTATCCACTTCACTCCTCACGTCACCCGGTTCCCAATCCATGCAGATCTTTTGCCGTAACTCAGGTTATGGCGGTGTTGCGCCAATGACTCATAAATGAGCCGTTGAACCCGCTAACCCTGTGTCGTAACGATGGCAATATAAACGCGCGTGCTCGGTTCTCGCTGTTGCTACAGCACCGCCAACATTCACTGCATGCTCATAAGGCTCGTATATTGCCTGCACGCATGCACGCACGAACGCACGCACGCCGCATGCACGCCACGACACACACAACGCACGTGTTGGAGAGGTTGGGATGAGTACGTTATTTATGAAGATATTGCGCTTATAATATATATATATATATATACACAGTGAAGTCTACGGTATTAGACTCAGTGAGCAGCAGTAGCAGCAGCAGCAGCCAGTAGCAGTAAGCCAGTAGTAGAGCGCAGCAGCAAGTAACATGCAGTAGCAGTCACCAGCAGTATGCAGCAGTACTAGCAGCAGTAGTAGTAGCCAGTAGCAGCAATGCAGCGGCAGTAGCACAGTAAGCAGCAGCAGCCAGTGCTGGCAGCAGCGGCAGCAGCAGCAGCAGTAGCAGTACGTAGCAGTAGCAGCAGAGCCAGGCAGTAGCAGCCGCAGTAGCCGCAGCAACAGTACGCAGCAGTAGGCAGCCCCAGCAGTAGAGTAGCGAGTAGCAGCGTAAGCAGCAGGTCTGGCTGCTGATCGGCTACATTACACCACGCGCTCCACCACGCTGAATCAACGCTGATAACCGCAAACACACCGATACACAGCTATAACAACCCCGCGCCCCGCGGCACACCCCCTGCGGGCCCACAGGCACCACAGCACCGAGCCCCCACTGCATGTATGTAGTGTCACATCTTCCCTGATTGCGTGTCGATGACGGAGAAATGTCTGTCGAATTATCTAGCGGGGCTTATCAAGCAAAAGAAGACAGAGTCAGTGACGCACAAAGGCTCTCTTGTTCTTCTGCCCCTCTTAATTCTCCTTCAATTTCCTCTTCCATTCCTCTTCTTACCCCTGTTCTTCTCTTTCCTCCCGCCCTTCATTCTTCTTCTCTACATCCTTCTTCTTCCTCCTTCCCTCCGCCTCCTCTCTACGCTTCTCACCTCACTCTCTGCTCTCTCCTCCACGCGCTCCTCTACCTCCCTTCGCCGCCGTCCTTTCCGCCATCTTCCTCCTCCCCTCCCCACCCCTCTTTGCCTCCGTTCACACATATCACGTTATCTCGTATAATGGGCGTGGAGGAGGGGATGCTGGAAGAAGGGGAGAGAAGGGAAGGCGAGCCGAAGTAAGCGTAGCATAGGAGGGTGAGACGAGAATGCAAGCAAAAGCATGGTAGCAGCGAGGGCGGAGAAAAAAGGAGGTAATAGGCGGAAGGACCGAGTTAGAGCGAGGAATGAAGAGCTAAGAACGAAGCACTCTCAGCTTCCTCAGTTTACACGCGGTTCGCCAGTCATCTGGTGAAGCCCATCTTATTCGTCATGTCATCGATTTTGGTTTATTGGAGTTAGCATTTCTATTCTGTGACAGTCGGGCACGGTGCGCAGAAGGGAGGGCGGAGGCAGGCAGGCGTGAGGAGGCGTGGAGCAGGAGCGGGAGCGGAGCGAGCGGGGGAGGGGAAAAGGATAAGCGTGGCGGGGAGAGAAGAAGGAGGAGGGAGAAGAGGAGAGCGAGGGGGAAGCGGGGAGGGAAGCAGCGAAGAGAGGAGTGAGGAGGCAGGCGGAATGCTGAGCCGGGGAAGCGAAGGCATGTTGGATGAGGGCGGAGAGAAGAGCAAGGACAAAGAAGGAAGAGAGAAGAAGGAGGAGTGGGAGGAAACGAGATGACAGGGGATTTAGAAGGGAGAAAAGGAGGAGGACTGTGCAGGAGGAGAAGGAGGAGGAGAGAAAGGAAGATGAAGGAAGAAGGAGAAGCAAAGAGGAAAGAGGAGGGGCGGGGGGGGCAATCGTAGCGCCGAAGAAAAAGAAGCGTGCGTCATACAGGCCGGCACATTGCCATGTAAAAAAACGAAAGAGATCTTAGTTCGATTTATTTCGCTCGCAGACTGATTGAGGTGGATGCGTGTTTAGTGTATATATCGTTGCTGTAATGTCGTGTGAGGATATCGGGGGGGGGGGCGCTTAGAGTTGGAGGGTGCGGTGAACTACGTTCTTGCGGCGTGTCTGGCCACGAGCGGATCACGTCTGGACAAGGCGCGCTTAGAAGGAACGGTTAGGGGCTAGAGCAAAATCTGGCTGGCTGATACGAAGCGCGGACGGCACACGCGCGAGCGCGCACGTACGCCGCGGTCTACACGGAGCAGCGGCAAACAAGTACCACACGCACCGCGCGCACGACAACACGACAACCACACACACGCTGCGCGCACACGACAACCACACGCACACAAACCACACACACACGCGCACACACACACACACACACACACACACACACACACACACACACACACATGCGCACGCACGCACGCACGCATAATTTATGTAGGTGCCGACGCTATCCAGTAGATGGATATATTGCTCGTGAGTGGCTGTGTAGTAGCAGCAGCAGTAGGAAGTAAGGAGGCATGATACGATGATAATGCGATACGTGTGAAGAGGAGAGAACCGCGGACATGTCAGCTTCAGTAGTAGCGGTGATCCATTCAGGGTCCATTTGTGAATGCCAAGCTTTGTAGGTCATGCCCACAGGGATGGCGTAAGTGTGTGTAACACCGTCTCACAGCTTTCTGCAGCAGCAGCAGCAACAGCAGCATCCGCAACACAGTTCCGATGCATACCTAAAGATATCATATCGAATTAGCGAGCGTGCACAGATATCTATATATCTAATTGCTGACACAGAAACAGTCACGGAAACACTCACGCACGCACGAACGAACGCGCGCGCGCACACGCACGTACACACACCCACAAACACGCACGTACGCGCACATGCAAATATACGTGAAAGACATGATCATACATGCGCACGCGAACACACGCACACGGATGAACGCACACACACACGCATACATGCACACGAATGCACGCGCACATACGAATGCACGCGCACATACGCATGCACGCGCACGCACACACCTAAAGTTGCATAAAGAAAAGCAACAGAGGGAATTTTGAGTGTGTGCTTGTGTAAGCGGCAGCCTTTGAATCGGTATTGCTCCGTTACTTAAGAATCCCCATCTGCAAGCTGTATCGGTTTCACAGCTGTATTATTCAACGATTTTAATGTGTGCATGTGCTGCCGGTGCATTAACGCATTTCCCTTCAACACCTTTCAATCTCTTCGTTGGAATCTTACTCAGAATTCATAAAGAACATTAGCGCCTTTTTGTTTGATCAACGTTGACAGATTTGTTGCGAAAACTCGTTTCGCCTTTAAAATTTTACATTTCAAACAAATCAAACGTAGAAAAAATTCCATTGAATCCTTCGTTGCTTAACAAGATCAAGAAATAGTAACGACTACAGCAGCAGCAGCAGCAGCAGCAGCAGCAGCAGCAACAGCAGCAGCAGCAACAGCAGCAGCAGTAGCAGCAGCAGCAGGTCTGGCGCTGATCGCCTACATTACACCACGCGCTCCACCAGCTAATCACACGTGATAACACACACCGACACAGCTATACACAAACCCCGCACCCCCGCACACACAGCCACACGAGCCCCCTGCATGTATGTATGTACACACTTCCCTGATTGGGTCCATGACCGGAGGAAATGTCGTCGAATTTAGCGGGAGCCTTATCAAGCAAGAAGCAGAGTCAGTGCCGCACAAAGGCTCTCATTGTTCTTCTCCTCCTCCTTAATTCTCCTTCAATTTCCTCTCCTTCCTCCTTCTACCCCTGTCTTCTCTTTCCTCCCGCTTCATTCTTCTTCTCTACCTCCCTTCTTCTTCCTCCTTCTCCTCCGCCCTCCTCTACCTTCTTCACCTCACTCCTCCTTCTCCTCCACCCTCCTCTACCTCCTTCGCCGCCTCCTTTTCCCCATCTTCCTCCATCCCCTCCCCACCCCTCTTTGCTCCGTTACACATATCCGTTATCTCGTTATAATGGGGGTGGAGAGGGGATGGAAGAAGGGGGAGAGAAGGAGGCGGCGAAGGAGGTAGAGGAGGGTGGAGGAGAATGAAGAAAAGAAGGTAGAGGAGGGCGGAGAAAAAGGAGGTATAGGCGGAAGGAGGTAGAGGAGGAATGAAGAGAAGAACGAAGACTCTCAGCTTCCTTGTACACGCGTTCCCCATCATCTGGTGAAGCCCATCTTATTCGTCTGTCATCGATTTGCGTGTTATGGAGTTACATTTCTATTCTGTGACGTCGGGCACGGTGGCAGAAGGGGAGGAGGAGGAGGATGGGGAGGAGGCGGTGGAGCAGGAGGGGGAGGAGGAGGGGGAGGGGAAAAGGATAAGGTGGGGGGAGAAGAAGAAGGAGGAGGGAGAAGAGGAGGAGGAGGGGAAGGAGGAGGGAAGAGGAAGGAGGAGGAGGAGAAGGGGGATGAGGGGGAAGCGAAGGATGTTGAGAGGGCGGAAGAGAAGGAGGAAGGACAAAGAAGGAAGAGAAGAAGAAGGAAGTGGGATGAACGAGATGACAGGGGTAGAAGAGAAAAGAGAAGGAACTGGAGGAGGAGAAGGAGGAGGAGAAGAAAGGAAGAGAAGAAGAAGGAGAAGAAAATGGAGGAAGAGGAGGGGGGGGGGCAAATCGTAAGCGGAGAAGAAAAAAGAAGCGTGGTCGTACAGGCGGACATTGCCATGTAACGAGAGATTATTCGATTATTCGCTCGAGACATGATTGAGGTGATTGTGTGTTAGTTATATATCGTGTAATGTGTGTGAGATTCGGGGGGGGCGTTAGATTGGAGGGTGATGAATACGTCTGCGTGCGTGTCTGGCCACGAGCGATACGTCTGACAAGGCGCGTAGAGGAACGTTAGGGGGTAGAGCAAAATCTGTGTCTATACGAACGCACGCACACGCGCGAGCGCACGTACGCCCGTATACACCACAGCGCAAACAAATACACACACGCGCGCGCACACACACAACACACACACACAACACACACACACAACACACACACACAACACACACACAGACAATTTTCAACTAGCATCACTTCTAGCGCCATCTTATAACTGTATCCGCACATGCGGAACGTCGCATGGTAAGCAGACTACTGCCCGACTTAACAAGC